TGCTGAACAAATTCCTCTCAATCCAAGCCCTTAACACGATGGCAGTCCCAGTCTGTGTTTGGAACATTAAAATCCCCTACCAAAACCACCCTATTAGTCTCACTGAGACCTTCTTACAAATTTGTTTCTCAATTTCCCACTGACTTGGGGTCTATATGCAATCCCACGAAGGTGATCATCCCTTTCTGATTTCTCAGTTCCACCCAAATAACTCCCCTGGGTGTATTCCCAGGAATATCCTCCCTAAGTACAGTAGTGTCATTCTTGATCAAAAACATCACTTCCCTCTCCTCTCTTGCTCCCCTTTTTATACTTAATAATAGCATCTATACCCTGGAACATTAAGCTGCCAGTCCTGTCCATCCGAGCCGCGTCTGTAATGACAATATCCCAGTCCCTTGTTCCCAGCCATGCCCTGAGTTACATAAGGACATAAGAACTAGGAGCAGGAGTAGGCCGTCCGGCCCTTCGAGCCTGCTCCGCCATTCAGTAAGATCATGGCTGATCTTTACTGAAGTAGCGTCAACTACTTCACTGGGCAAGGAATTCCATAGATTAACAACCCTCTGGGTGAAGAAGTTCCTTCTTAATTCAGTCCTAAATTTGCTCCCTCTAATCTTGAGGCTATGCCCTCTTGTCCTAGCTTCACCTGCCAGTGGAGACATCCTCTCTACATCTATCTTATCTATTCCCTTCATAATTTTGTTTCTATAAGATCCCCCCTCAATCTTCTGAATTCCAATGAATATAATCCCAATCTACTCAGTCTCTCCTCATAAGCCAACCCCCTCAACTCCGGAATCAACCTAGTGAACCTCCTTTGCACCCCCTCCAGTGCCAGTACATCCTTTCTCAAGTAAGGAGACCAAAACTGCACACAGTACTCCAGGTGTGGCCTCACCAGCACCTTTTACAGCTGCAACATAACCTCTCTGCTTTTAATCTCAATCCCTTTAGCAATGAAGGACAAAATTCCATTTGCCTTCCTAATTACTTGTTGTACCTGCAGACCCACCTTCTGTGATTCATGCACAAGGACACCCAGGGCCCTCTGCATAGCAGCATGCTGCAACATTTTACCATTCAAGTAACAATCCTTTTTACTATTACTCCTACCAAAGTGTACGACTTCACATTTATTTACATTGTATTCCATGTGCCAGACCTTTGCCCACTCACTCAATGTATCTATGTTCCTCTGCAAAGTTTCACAGTCCTCTGCACACTTTGCTCTGCCACTCATCTTAGTGTCATCTGCAAACTTTGACACCCTACACGTGGTCCCCAACTCCAAATCATCTATATAAATTGTAAATAATTGCGGTCCCAACATCGATCCCTGAGGCACACCACTAGTCACTGACTGCCAGCCAGAATAGCACTCATTTATCCCCACTCTTTGCTTCCTGTTAGTCAACCAATCCTCTATCCATGATAATACTTTACCCTTAATGCCATGCATCCTTATCTTATGCAGTAGCCTCTTGTGCGGCACCTTGTTGAAGGCCTTTTGGAAATCTAGGTACACCACATCCACAGGGTCCCCATTGTCCACCTTGCTCGTAATGTCTTCATAGAATTCCAAAAGATTTGTCAAGCATGACCTGCCCTTCATGAACCCATGCTGCATCTGCCCAACGGGACAATTTCTATCAAGATGCCTTGCTATTTCTTCCTTGATAATAGACTCGAGCATCTTCCTCACTACAGAGGTTAAGCTAACCGGTCTATAATTCCCCATCTTTTGTCTACTTCCCTCTTTAAACAGTGGCGTCTCATTTGCTGTTTTCCAATCTGCTGGGACTGCCCCAGAGTCCAGCGAATTTTGGAAAATTACCGCTCATGCACCTGCTATTTCTCCTGCCATCTCTTTTAGTACCCTGGGATGCATTCCATCAGGGCCAGGAGACTTATCAATCCTTAGCTCCATTAGCTTGCCCAACACTACCTCTTCCGTAATAATGATTGTTTCCAGGTCCTCACCTACCTTTGTCTCTTTGTCAATTACTGGCATGTTATTAGTGTCCTCCACTGTGAAGACCGATACAAAATACCTGTTCAATGCCTCGGCCATTTCATCATATCCCATAACTAAATTCCCCTTCTCATCCTCTAAAGGGCCGATGTTTACTTTAGCCACTCTTTTTTTCGTTTTATATATTTATAGAAACTTTTGCTATCTGTCTTTATATTCTGTGCTAGTTTTTTCTCGTGTTCTATCTTTTCTTTATAGCTGTTCTTGTGGCTTTCTGTTGACCTTTAAAGTTTTCCCAATCTTCTAGTTTCATGCTGTTTTTGCCCACTTTGTATGCCTTCTCTATCAATTTGATAGCCTCCCTTATTTCTTTAGACACCCATGGCAGATTACCCCTTTTCTTACAGTCCTTCCTTTTCACTGGAATATACTTTTGCTGAGCACTTTGAAAAATTGCTTTGAAAGTCCTCCACTGCTCATCAACTGTCCCACCATAAAATCTTTGTTTCCAGTCTACTTTAGCCAAGTCCTCCCTCATTCTATTGTAGTTCCTCTTGTTCAAGCACAGGACCCTGGTATTGGATTTTATCTTCACACTCTCCATCTGTATTCTAAATTCAACCATACTGTGATCACTCCTTCCAAGAGGATCCCTAACTATGCGGTCATTAATTATTCCTGTCTCATTACACAGGACCAGATCTAGGATAGCTTGCTCCCTCATCGGTTCCATTATATACTGTTCAAGAAAACTATCACGGATACACTCAACAAACTCCTCAAGGCTACCCTGACCGAGCTGGTTCGACCAATCTACATGTAGATTAAAATCCCCCATGATAATTGCCGTACCATTTTTACAGGCATTAGTTATTTCTTTGTTTATTGTCCGCCCCAATGTATGTTATTATTTGGTGGCCTATAGACTACGCCTATCAGTGACTTTTTCCTCTTAGAATTTCTCATTTCCATCCAATTTTCCTCTTAGAATTTGTAATTTCCACCTAGTGATGTCTGTTTTGATTGGATCTATCAGAGTTGATCTTTAATGGAATTCTGTTTTGCATATGTTGTTTGGGAGCCAGTCTGATGGACTTCATTGAATGATGACGTCAGTAATTGGTCCAGTAGTCATTAGCTTCTGTGATTCTGTACATGGACAGTGACTTAATCGATCGGTTTGCACTGTTTGGAATGTGTTGTCATGGCTTTTCGTACTTGAACATACTGTTCTGGCAGGGGATTGTGATGAGCCTGCGTCCTTCACATTTCTTTAGGAAAAGAATGCCATTGGAATTGAGATTTCCAATTTCTGTTTTGCCAGTCATTCCATTCCACAGGTTGGAATCTCTTCCAACTCTGTCATTGAACTAACTATCCAAGAAGAATAAGCCTCCTTTCCTTTGGAATACTACAGAAAACTTTGTCAAGCTTGATGTGAGAACCTTCCTTGATTTCATCAGTAGTTTTTCGAGGCAAAGAGTTTGAGTCAGTTTGAGACAGTTATAAAGCACTTGCTGCTTCCATGAAGTAACTCTTGAAGCTAGTTGACAAGCTCTTTGATAACAAGTTCAACTCCTTGAACTCTGTATTCTCCTGATTTTCCCCCTGCTGTCTCCAGCTTGCTGGGATTCTGTCGCTGTCATAACACTGGAGTTGTCTGGCAATAAACAGTGCGAGGCTCCATGCGCTCACTTGCAGTTGTATTGTTGAGGCTTGTGACTTTCCAGGTTCCACCCCCCTCTACTAGTGTCTCATGTGCTTCTATTGCAGAAGACGAACCTTTCGCAAATGGCTTTGCAGTTGGGAGAGGTAAGGGAGACTATTTATAGGGCAGTAATACGTACCAAGAACTGCATACGCTGGAAATCTGAAACAAACACAAATTGTTAGAGAAACTCAGCAGGTCTGGCAACATTTGTCGAGAGAAAGCAGTCGGTGTTTTGGATCCGGTGGCCCTTAATTTTGGCCTCATCTTCGATAGGGGGTGAGCAGAGTGTATCCAAAATAGAACTGCTCAGTTGCAGTTATAGCTGTTGCCTACAAGTGGTAGAATATCTTGTAACTTCCACCTTACCTGATCTAGACAATCCAATCTTCTGTTGCCATTTGTTGGCTGCTGAATGGCAAGGAGGATGTTGTGTTGGTATCATGTCTTTCCAGTTTACTTTCTTCCTCTTTCAATAACTCGGGATTATTGATTTGAATCTGTTTTCAGGTTTACTTCTCAATTTTCAAGTTTTGGTTTTTAGACTCGTGCTTCAAAATGTAAAGCTTGACTTGTGTTTCTCTACCTCAACTAGTTAACTTCTAGCTGTGAAAATAAATCTCATTTATGGAAAGACCACTCTACTCTGGTAAACTGCAAAACTGTAGATACATTTGTCAACTCAATCTCCGTATTGTCAGCAATACTATCTTCACACAGAGAGTGGTGGGCGTGTGGAATGCGCTGCCGGCAGTGGTAGTGGAGTCAGATACTTTTAGAGACTTTTAAACGACTCTTGGATAGGCACATGGAGGATAGTAAAGTGTAGGGTATGCAGGGTAGATTGATCTTAGGATACTAGGTCGGCACAATATCGTGGGCTGAAGGGCCTGTACTGTGCTGTCCTGTTCTATGTTCTATGTTAAGTGTGTCACTTAATGGTGCAGTTTCATTTCTGGATGTCGTCTCACATTTAGTGATGGACAGAAGTGATTAGCAGTTGGATTGAATGGAAATGTATAAAGACCTGGCGTTTGTGATGTGATACGATGACACCACTGTCAGCATTCTCCATCATTACTCAGTCTGAAAGTGTGGAAATTCAGAAATTGCACTTTTTATTCCACCCTCCTCCAGCAGTTGCAGAATCCCTAAGCACGCAACAAATTGGAACAAACTTCCCTTTAAGTGAGAACCTTCATGATCGTCATACTAGGTGATTTAGAATTTAGCTTAATTGGTACTTTTCATAAAGGTTACTAGGTAAGCTTACCAAAATTGAGTTTTAATTGAAATTCAATTTTTTTTTTTAAACAGGCAGATACGATGTCAATGGAGGACTTGGTGAAAATGCTTATGGTCGGAAGTCGCTGGGGCAAGAGCTGAGGGTTAACAATGTGACCACGGATGTAAGCAGCATTCAGCATGGGAGTCGTGCTTTAGCCACAAAGGAGATGAGGAAATCACAGGGTAAGAATTATTACTCTGTTACCTAGATACCCCAAAGCTCTCACTGCTATACTTTTATCCTGACGAGATGAGGCACAAGAACTGCCCAGTTTTTTTAGGATTTTTGCTTTGTTGCAATACCTGGTAATACTTTGAGAGATCTTAAACACTACTGAAACAGATGTGAAGTCAAAGCTCTTCATCTTGCACTGATGTCCCTCTTTAGCAATATTAAAGTTCTGTAACGCCAAGCAATTATTTGCGAGATCTCCTTAAACATGAGTTTCTGGTATGTATGTATTCAGATTTTTGGAGCATTCACAGTAGATTGGAAGTAGGATATGTCCCTACACAGAGGGATTACATGCAGTTTAGTTTAGCTGAGTAAAAGATAACTGATTATTGTAGCATTTTTTTTGTAGCATTGATTGTCTAGGTTCTTGGGGAGAAGAAGCAGTGTCTCTGTCAAAGTGAGAGCCAATTTATTAATAGTTTTAAGTTTTGGTGGTATAAGACTGATTTTAAAAAGAAGGAAAAAAGTAATTTCTCAATGGAAAATAACGGCTCTGTCTTTACCTTCTCTATATGAACATGTGTGCTCTTTAATTGGCACCCACAGCACTGGTTCAATCTCCATGCAGCCTGAGATTACCATGAAGGTCCTACCTTCTCAACCTTGTTCCTGACCTGAGACATTGTGACCCTTGGGTTAAGCAGATGCCAGTTGTCTTGCGGGGAGGCCTATAGTCCTCTGGGACTATAACAACTTTACCTTTTGTTTTACTTGCCATAGCACAGTTTCAAGTAACATTTGTTGTGAAAGTATGGTTTTTTTTTTCCCGCTTTATTCATTCACGAGACGAGAGCATTGCTGGCTAGGCACCATTTATTGTCCACCCCTAATTGTCCAGAGTGAGTTTAGAGTCAACCACGTTGCTGTGGGTCCAGAGTCACATGTAGGTCAGACTGGGTAAGGATGGCAGTTTCCTTCCCAAAAAGGACATAGGTGAACCAGATTGGTTTTTTTCCCGACCAGTAGATGTTGTTCACCGTTGGACTCTTAATTCCAGATTTTTTTTTTGAATTCAGATTCCACCATCTGCTAGGGTGGGATTCAAACCTGGGTTCCCAGAACATTATCTGGGTCTCTGCTTTAACGGTCCAGTGATAATACCAATAAGCCGTTGCCTCCCCGTAATTAAACCCATAAAAAGCATTTTGGGGCTTTATGAAAAGAGAACATGGGTGAAGATTTGTACTTTAATTGGGTGTACACAAAATTCAAAGATGTTACCAGCAATCTTTCATAGAAGCTGCACAAGTGTGTAGCTGCTGGGAGGGTCCACGCATGCTGATTCTTGTGTAGGTGTATTGACTCCTGCTTCTGGACATGGCTGCCGCATGTGAACCTCCAGAGGTTAGGGGAGCGTACATTAGTAGAGTTAAGAGGAATAAGATAAGGCTGTCTACTAAATTCTCTCCTGAATCTCTGATCTGCTCTTCAAGTTATGCACCCTGATTGACTCGCTCTGCCAAGCACTGGCCTCACCCCACATCAAAAGCATTCACGATCTAATCTATTAGTTCCTTCAGTTTGAAAAACCTCAATTCAATCAATCTTGTATAGAATGCACGTCTAGTATATGTAGTGTCTCATCATTTGATAATCACATTGGAATACAGGGATTTGGCCCTTTGACCCCTGTTCTGCCCTTCAGCAATAATATGGCTGGTCTGGTTGTGGCTTCAACTCCACTTTCTTGTCTGACCCTCATAACTCTGTTTACCTTTATCAATCAAAACTGTTTAACATAGCCTTGAATCTGTTCCATGACCCAGCCTCCACTGCTTTGAGGAAGAGAATTGTTGACTAACCTCTAATCTTTCTCTGAAAGAAAATATCATCATTGTCATCTTCGTCCTAAATGGGAGCCCCCTTATTTTTAAGCTGTACCCCTCTGGATTCCCCCAAAATGTGAAGCATCCTACCAGCATCTGGCTTTCAAGTCTCCCTCTGTTTTGATTCAATAAGATTATCACATTCTTCAATACTCCTGATGAGCACAAGACTTCGACTCCAACCTGCTCAACATTTCCTCCAAAAGACAACCACTTTAGTCCGGGAACCGGCGAGTGAACACAATCACTGCTTGTAAACAGTTAAACACTCACTGAATTGACAGGCATACCCTTTTGTAGTGTAGGGCACTTGTGGTGCATTGGCAGTGTACCTGCCTCTGGGCCAAAAGGTCTGTGTTCAATACCCACCTGCCCCAGATATATGTTGTAATGTTTCTGAAGAGATTGGTTTAAAAATATCTACCCCTTTGTAGTCTGATGAGAAGTGGGAAAGAGGGGAGCCATTTTACCCTTGCTTGCCTGGCTGTAACAGGAAGCTATTACAATCTGGTTTTGGGACAGTGATTATTTGGATTAATGTAAATTTATCAAGGGAAGTCAGTGTGACTTTTTGTAACAGATAAATCATGTCTGATCAACCTTTTTTTTTGAAGAGGTAACTAATGTGGTAGAAAAGCATGTATGTGTACCACTATTAATCAGTTGTCAAGTTTCCAAATAAATAAATAAATGTTATAATACATTGGGTGCAGTCCAGTGCCTTGGATGTGTCTCAGGATATTGTGGTACAGTGATACTGTCCCTACCTTCAAACCAGGAGGTCCAGGTTGAAGATGTACCTGTTCCAGAAGTGTGCAATGACGTGTCTAACCAGGTTGATTAGAAAATATCCATCGCCTGTTTTGGAATAGTGGGAATCTGGGAACTGTAAAGAGATTTACAGCCCCTAAATAGAAAATGCAAACTTAGTAGATAATTTAGGTGCAGAAATAATTTAAAAGACTAATAGAATGTTGGGCATTATCTTGAAGACTAGAATACAAAGCAGAAGTTACTTCTCAGTTACATGAAGCTGCAGTTAGATCCCATTAGGAGCACTGCACTCAGAATTCCCTTGTTAATTGAAGATTGAGGCGATTTAATTAAAATGATCAGAGGAGTGGATAAGTGAAATAGAAACTGTTTCCTCTGGGGACTGCAGAATAGGTGGGATTACCTTGGAATTAGTTTGTCTGTTGAAGGGTGATATGAGAGAGTGCTTTTTTGCATAAATGTTGCTGACATCTGGAATAAACTTTGCTGAAAGAAAAGGTCACTTAAGTTCCGAAATTAAGATTGTTGGATTTTTGTTGGCCAGAGGTTATTGAAGGTTATGGAATCAAGGTGGGTAGATGGCGTTAAGATTCAGATCAACTATGATCAGACTGAAGAGGTTGAATGGGGCCTACTCCTTTTTCCATGTTATTCACTGAGTTTATAGTTAACTTTGTCAAACTGTTTAATTTATAGAACGATCTTTATCTTATTCTGATGAGTCTCGACTGTCCAATCTTCTGCGGAGGATTTCCCGTGAAGATGACAGGGAGCGTCGGCTGGCTACAATAAAGCAATTGAAAGAGTTTATTCAGCAGCCAGAAAACAAAGTGGTGAGTGTTTTATTTAAGAAAAGTGAGAAGATGGAAATACACATCTTAGCATCCTAAGGGACAGGTAAACATTGAGCCTACATGCTAAATGCTAGCAGCTCTCTACTTTGCTACTTTCTAAGATATAAACATATGGAAATTGGCTAGAGTCATGTTTCTAATTTAAATTTTATTTGTTGTATAATTGCAATTTTATCTTCTTGCAGGTTCTAATTAAGCAACTAGATAATGCCCTGACTGCAATACAAGATGTGCTTAACGAGAGGTAGGTGTCAAACCATGTCAGTTTTGGCAAAGTTTGTAACCCTTTTAAGGAACTTTATCCTTTCTAAAAAAGATGAACTTCATCCTCTGGACATAAATTCTTGGGTAATTTTTTAGTGAGAACTATTTGTATATGCATCCCTTGGGTATTTCTGGAGCTCGGTTTGTTTTCTGGATGGAAGACCATAAATCCAAATGTGTATTTAAATCTTCCACATTTACATAATGTGAAGGTTATTGATTGCACTTAAAAATCTTTACACATTATTTCCAGTCATTTTAGTTTTACCACTTCTATTTGGTACATCTTGGAGATTGAAATTTTTATATATTTTTCTTTTACAAAGAATATTTCGATCAGACATTTGACCACCTAATTCCATCTGAAATTGGGACCTTGGGTTTGCATGTCCTTTGGTGTGTTAGCTTAAAGCTCCAAGATACTACTCTGGCGCCTTTTAAATTTGTGGAATATCGCAAGTGTTATAAGATTGTAGTCTGTTATGTAAATAAATCAGGTTGCTAAGCCAATGATCTCAATCCTAATCTTTGAGGGGTGGACTCTTTTTCGTTTATTGTTCTGGGGTCTGTATAAGGCAGCGTTTCCAAAGTATGCTCCCACTGTGACCTCATTTTGAGGTTTGAAAGCTGTCCCAATCCCCTGGGAAGTGATTGGGGAAATAAGGAGAAGACCTTTCACAGCAGCGGAGGGTTCGTGTTGGTTGTTGCATTGGAGCCAGTACCATCAAAATTTCAGTTTGTGGTGTCATTTGAAGTCCCAACCCCCACTCAGTGAAGTCTTGGTATTGAGCATTGGGTAAAATTTCCTTATGCAGTGACTTATCCTTACTCAAGACAATGGATTCTATTAAGTCATGAAGTGCTTTAGGTTCAAATTAAACTCTGGTTGCAATTACATTTTTGTGACTTCAGAAGTACTAAGGATGCTTAAGGAAAGTGGCTGTTGAGTAACTAGCTTCTACCATTGCAAAAGCATTGCAAATCCCACTTCTGATGACAAATTGGATTTTTATTCTAGTTTGTGACTTGCTTCATTTGTTTAAATAACAAAACAAATTATGAATTTTTGGGAACAGCAGTAATTCATTGTAAACTCCGAACTCATTTATTTTAAATTTGTCTATATATGGCCTAGGTATATACATGCAGTACAAGATATTAACATTGATAACTTCTTATCAACAGTAGTAAACTACTTCATGAACTACGACAAGAAGGAGCTTGCTGCCTTGGCTTGTTGTGTGTATCTCTGAGTTACGAGGCTGAGAAAATCTTTAAATGGATTTTTAGTAAGTTTAACTCTTCCACCAAAGATGAGGTAAAACTTCTGTACTTGTGTGCCACCTACAAAGCATTGGAAACTGCAGGAGAAAAGAAGGCATTTTCATCTGTAATGCAGGTTAGTCCCTAATTTTATGATTTTTTTCAAACTGAAATCAGGAATATTTTGTATTAAGTTCACTTTTGATACAAGGACCTCTTTTTTTGTGTGGGTACATATTAATGCATTTAGATAAGCTGGAGAGTAGCTTTAAGAGTGATAAAAGGTATTTTTGGAGCTCTGTTGCATTATCTGAAATCATCAAACTTCCCAAAATATTTTGAGTATAATCATTGTAGAGAACTTCCTGTTTAAACTTTTTAAAACTTCCAAAAGTGTGAAAAATTGTAGTAAGCCATCATTGAACACAGGTTAAACACTTTGTTTAGTTGGAACTAATTTAGCTCTCTCTTTTTGTCCCCTAGTTGGTGATGGTTAGCCTGCAGACTGTTTTGGAAAATGTGGACACTCCAGAGCTACTGTGCCAATGTGTGAAGTGCATTTTATTGGTGGCTCGTTGTTATCCCCATATATTTAGTACCAACTTTAGGGTAAGATAATGAGGGAAAGATTGCATCATATACTGTTTTAAGATTTTTCACAGCAAGCTGATATCTGATGCTTTTTATTCCAAAGGACACTGTAGATATACTTGTTGGATGGCATATTGATCACACTCAGAAACAATCGCTTACGCAACAAGTGTCAGGTAAGGTTGTTGTTTACTCCAGTATGTTCTTGGTCGTTTAAACTTCTGCTAATTCTAAATGTTAGCTATTTGAGCAAAATAGTTCAGTTCAGCTGAAAATGGCAGGTTTCAAAATGGTCTTGACAGCAAAATGAATATCAGTAAAGTGAAATTAAAAAACAATTGGAACCAAGCACCACATAACCATTTTCACTTAAATTGTGCATTTGAACCACTTCATTCTAAGAATGATTAGTCTTAATATGGCAATCTTCTGTGTTTTCTGTTTCTAAACTGTTAGTCACCTGCCCTATTATCTCCCTCTGTTGATCAGTGTCAAATTTTCTTAACACTGCTGTAAAATGCCTTTCCTATGTTGAAGGTGCTAATACATGTTGCTACTGTTGATATTAAGTAAAGAGAATTAAACTGCTTTGATAATGTGTATTACCTGAGCAGACTTTCATGCCAAGAATTTTAACAAAGCATTCGATGTTTTTAAAACCATATTATGCTGCATACGTAATATAGTGCAACTTTCTAATGCCGTAGTGATGTTCTTGCTCAACTTAATTGCTAGCTAGTCTCTTACTAGCTTGATTTAATAATTGTCACTTTGTCACAAGTTCTTCCATGAAATTTTTAATTTGGTTTGCACAAGAACCCTTAAACTAAAAAATAATGGAATTTGTTCATGCAAAGGTTGGCTGCAGTGTTTGGAACAGTTCTGGGTTGCAGATCTCGGATTTTCCACAACCCTTCTGGGGCAGTTTTTGGAAGACATGGAGGCTTATGCTGAGGTATGGTACAGAACTGAGTAGGTTGCGTGAAACTGCTTCCCATTTGCTTGTTATACCTGCTAACTTTTTTAAACCAAAATCAACGTCCAGAAACATCAATGAAACAAATAACGACGGATACTGGAGATCAGAAACAAAAACAAAGTGCTGAAGAAACTCGGCAGGTCTGGCAGCATCTGTGAAGAGAGGTTAATGCTTCAGGTCCAGTGACCCTTCTTCAGAACAGCAAAGGGTTGCTGGAGTCAAAACACTAACTCTGGTTTTTCTTTCCACAGATGCTGCCAAGCTTGCTAAGTTTCTCCAGCACTTTGATTTTGGCCCCAAAAATTGTTTGTTGTAAACTGATCATTTTTTTTTTTGATAATTTGAAACGGCTTATTATTTAGATCTATATACATCACAGCATTCACTGGAAGCTACCTTTCTTTTTCGAACTATAAATTTAAAATTATTCATTGAAAGTGGATCCTAATTTGAAATGCTTGAAGGCCTTTCCTTATGGACAAGATATTTTTCCAGAAAGTTCTGTCGATTTTGCGGGACTGTTATGCTGTGGTGGCTTGAGAATGCTATTTCAGGAATGCATTAGAGAGTAGAGTTCAATAAAAGAAAGAAAGGCAGACTTGTATTTGTATAGCACTTTTCTCGACCACTAAATGTCTCAATGGTGCTTTACAACCAATTTAGGACTCTTATTTTGAAGTGTAGTTACTGTTGCGCCTTAAGCTACGTGGCAGCTAACTTGCACTCAGCAAACTCCCACAAACAGCAATACGTGAATGACCAGATCACTCGCTCTTTGTGATGGTGATTTGAGATATAAATATTAGCCTGAAGACAATGAGAATTCACCTGCTATTTGGTCAATGATGACGGTCCACCATTATTGCCTGTCTGCCAGAATGAACTAACAATTATTTTTCTTTATTACTGTGTTATGGGGCCAACTAATGGGAATACTGGCTAAGTCGGATACAAGGTGAAACCTGCCTTGATAGATCAAATGTTGTATTTCAATGTAGTTGTCATTTATTAAAACATAAGCGCAGAATTAGTTTTGACAATGGGTCAGAAGTTTATTGTATAGAAGGAAAAAAAACCTTCCTAAATATAGAACACTGGTTGGAAAATTTTAAAGTGCATGCTAAGTAACATTCTGTCTTCAATGTGATACCTTTGCAGTTTCCTATCTAGAGAAAATATCCCTCCATCTCAAACTTTGTAGCTGGTTTTGTCCAATTCTTTTGTCTGAATTGTGAAGCTGTCTTACATGAATATTCACAAAACTGAAAGCTTAGATTTGCTTTTTCTTTTAATAATGTTATGATTTCTAACAATGCACTGTGTTCTGGAGAGCTACTGTACAGTGGTAGTGTCCCTACTCTGAGCCAGCATGCCTGAGTCAAGTCCCACCTGATCCAGAAGTATGTCATATCGTTTCTGAACAGGTTGATTAGGAAATATCTACACTCCTGGTCTGGAAGTTGTACTAACTAACTTTCCAATAAATTTATTTGTTCCATGGATTGTTTTATACTCCTTTCTAGGACAGAAATTGTATTATGCTTGTGATCCCAGTCAGTTTTCAGCCAAACTGCTCGAAAAAGATCGATCTGAGTTTCTTTCCTAAGCTAAAATCAGCTCTTGATTGTCCTGAACCAAAAGCGATATTTACACCCCCACCTTAAACCTAGTACAGCACTAACAATCTTTCATAAACATCCCACGTCTCCATATTCTCCGAAAAATACTGGATTAGATCAATATTTTAGAAGGACTGAATCTATTACTTTTTAAAAACCTTGTACAAAAGTACCCAATATCCACATACCACTGTTTTGAAATTTAAATTCTAAAGACTGATTCACAGTTGCCATTTTCAAAACACACGCTGACAGTTGGTGCTTTCAAGCAATTTCAATGAGCTGTTTACTCCAAGCTAAACTGTGATTACCCTGGTGATGAGTCTAACATTCTTGGATGTTGAGTGGTGATGCCAAATGAAATTGACCGATTTTATATATAGCTGATCCACCTCAGTAGTACCTAAATATAAACAGTACCAAGCTTGGATTGTCACCACCTGGAGCTCCCTTCCTGACAGCACTGTGTGTGTACCTACCCCTCCTGGGCAGCAATGGTTCAAGAAGGCAGATCAGCACCACTTTCTCAAAGGCATTTGGGGATGAGCAGCAACAAGTCCCACATCCCTTTTAAAAAGGTAATAACTGACATGTGATGAATTTCCTAGTGAAATTTGGTATGTGGTAAACATTTGTCTAGGGGCAGCGGAGGTCAATAACTAATTTGTCACAAATTCCTGCTGACTGTGCTGTGATTGGGTAAATGTCTGTCGAAGACCCATTTCTATACAGCTCCTGCATGGTGAATAAATTGACTGATTATTTGCATTTACAGGATCTTAGTCATGTGGCCTCTGGGGAGGCAGTTGATGAGGACATTCCACCTCCTTCAGTCTCGTTACCGAAGTTAGCAGCACTGCTGAGGGTTTTCAGCACTGTCGTGAGAAGCATTGGAGAACGTTTCAGTCCAATCAGAGGCCCTCCAATCACTGAGGCTTACGTGACAGATGTAAGAAAATGTATTGAGATCATTTTTCTAACATATCCTCTTGCTTAATCCCATCTTGAATAGCTGTAATTTCTCTGTTAAACTTCTGTTTCCTTGGGACTAAATTTCGAAGTATAAAAAAGAAGCTTCTCATTGAATCAGTAATGAGGTATTTTATCAGATCTGAAATCTATATTGTCTCTCTTTATCCATCTCCCTATCAAAGTTCAGAGATCTGCACTACTGCATTATGTTTTGAGGATACTTTCTAAAATGTTTCTTTCATTCTAGGTCCTTCTGAGAGTTGTGAACTGCGTAACCACGGCAAAACAAGTTTTCTTTTCTGAGGCAGTATTGACCGCTGCAAATGAATGTGTGTGTGTTCTGTTGGGTAGCATGGATTCTGATATAGCCAAACATTGTGAGATTACCATTACTTATGGATTGGATCAGCTGGACAGTTGTCAGATGTTTGGTGCTGAGTACATCATCTCTGTCTTAAACCTGTTGACACTGGTGAGCCTCCTTAAATAATTGAGGATTTATGTTTTTATACCTCTTATGTGATTAGCTATAGTTCAAGAAATCCTTCTGGAGCATTATATTTGGATCTTGCAGCCAGCAAAACAGCTTGCATTGAAATAAGGATGTTTTGTAATTTCAGGGCAGAATGGTGGCTCAGTGATTAGCACTGCTGCCTCACAGCACATGGGACTCATTCGGGTTCGATTCGAGCACTTAGAAAATGGAGCTACTGCTGTAGGAAAGCTCTGAGGAGCCAAAGTCTCAACAACTGGGTCCCAAAAAGTAGAGAATAGGCCACATAATCTGATTATAGTGATGTTTGATGCAGCATAGATTTTGGCAGGCTGTTGGTAGGTGACCTTTACTTTTCAAATGAAAACATCTACAGAATTGTTTGCCACCTCCAAGATGGTAGGTAGGGCCTGAGTTTAATATCTCATCTCAAAGACCTAGATTTAGTTCCAACAATCTAAATTGCAGCGCATATTTTGAGCTTAAATTTGTGGCATGGAACTTGAATCCACTGTCTTCTGATTCAGACACTAGATTATTGCAACTGACACTTGTAATAAATAACGTCATTATACTGTGTAATGTCAACATTCAAAGAAAAATAATTTTGTTTTCCAGATTGTGGAACAAATAAATACAAAATTGCCAGCATCGTTTGTTGAAAGACTCTTTTCACCACACTCTAAGTTACTTCAGCTTCGTTTTCACAGGGAGAAAGAGGTACGGTGGAGGACAGATAAGTTGAATATGCTCTTTAATAGTACATAATGATCCTAATAAAAACAGAAATTACTGAAAAAACTCTAGGTCTGGTAGCATCTGTAGAGAGAAATCGCTTCACATTCCTCAGAACTGATGGTAGCTGCACTTCACTCAATCTAGTCTACTGCATTCACTGCCCACAATGAGGTCTCCTCTACATTGGGGAAATGAAGCATAGACTGGGCGGCTGTTTCACAGAACACCTACGTCTGTCCGCAAAGAGACCTGAGCTTGCCCTTGCCTGCCACTTAAACACACCACCCTGTTCCCTGGCCAACATTTCTGTCTCAGACTTGCTGCAGTGCTTCAGCGCAAGCTGGAAGAGCAGCTCAATTTCTGCTTGGCACCTCTATAGCCTTTTGGACTCCGTTCAATAATTTTAGGGCTTGAGGCACCTTCCCCATGTTTTAGCCCACCCCCACAAACAAGGCCTTGCTATCCCATAGTCTGCTGTTACACAGAACCCATTTACTATTCATTCTCCTAGGTTGACTGTGATCCATTCCTTTGTCTGTTAAACTGTTTTTCTTTCACTTTGGTCTCTATCTCCACCTGTTGTTTACTTTTCGCTCTTACCCTCGCCCTCACCCCCGCCCCCTCCCCAATCTGCATATCAGTTCTGAAGAAGACGCGAAACATTAACACTGATTTCATTCCACCGATGCTGCCAGACCTGAGTTTTCCAGCAATTTATTTTTGGTTCTGATTTCCAGCATCTGCAGTTCTTTTGGATTTTTTATAAAGATCCTACCCTGGTTTATATGAGCATTTCATATAGTATGTTGATTCGTTGAATGTGTGAAAATATAGCTAGTTATTAGATCTGTTTAATCTTAAAATTTCTACTTTGCATGTAATTTTGAAGTTTTCAGGAAAAGACAACTTCAAAATTACATGCAAAGTGGCAATAAGTCTTTAAAAGGACCAGGACCTACTGAGTCAAGAGATAGTAGGAACTGCTGATGCTGGAGAATCTGAGATAACAAGGTGTAGAGCTGGATGAACACAGCAGGCCAAGCAGCATCAGAGGAGCAGGAAAGCTCACGTTTCGGGTCTGGACCCTTCT